AGGTTGTTCCAAGCAGAAGGAAGCCGGGGGGGTTTCGGGTGATTTCAGCGGGGAGGGCTGATCTGAAGAGTTCATCGGTGCGGAGTAATTTCGGTCGATTGCGTTTGAGGACGGACGGGGCTTATACGAGCCCAAACGGATTGAAGAAGCCCGGATGCCGAAAATAGAACTCTACATGGTAACGTACCGCAACCCCAGCCTTAAACACATCCCAGCATCGTGGACGTCGGGCCATCGCTGTCTACATCCGTCACGACCACGGACGGAGGCCTCGGCTCTTTTGTGATCTTCTCCTGTCCTTTCTTCTGGGAGCTCTCTTCTGAGAGGCTGCGAGCTTGCAAGGTGCCTTCGGCTTACGCTTAGTTCTCCGTTTTAGGGACAAATCGCAGCACTGCAAGGACAGAGGGTCGTGGATGTAAAGCCTGAGGGTGTAGAGTTCATACCATAGCCTAGCGGGCTCAGACCAGGAAGCCATCTAGATCAAACTTTTCGGTGTTGAGATTCGGAGAAGCAGGAACTTCTCTTTGCCCAGAACCCAAACCCACAAAACTCAACAAGAGTGGGTTCTCCGAGTCTCGCTGGAATTGGCCCCATGGGCATGTGGAGGCCGAGCTTCCGAAATGGCCTCAAACCCAGTAGTGACCCCCTAGAGTGCCCCAGAAAAGGAAAGCTGATGCCAAATCCAAACAGACCAGCTCGACACGGATCAAGGGATACTTTTTTGTTGCCATTCAGCGAGAGATGCGAGATGTGCCTCTGCCAAGAAGTGCCTCGCCGGATGTTCCAGCAAAGCTCTTCTGGATGGCTTTGTACAAAGACGGTCAGGGCCGCCCATAGCAGAAAATGGACAGCTGGGCAGTTGACAAAGACGCAACGTCGTTGAAGGCTGACAAGAGGCCGTCAAGAAACCCTCTTAGAACCCTGATATTTTCCAAGCGCTTGCAGTTCGAAGCTTCGCAGCTGCCCAGCTCTGTGGTGGTATGAGATTGATTGCGAAGGATTGATTGCGAACCCCTTACTTGCAGATGCCGGGTTCGGGCTTATAGGATCTAAGATAGGGTCTAGATGAGAAACCGGTTACCAGTAGCATCTCATAAAGACTCACAAAAAACCCAAACCCCCAGAGCCTTGAGCCCTCTCGTCTTCAGCCATAAATTCTTCAAACCGTATCCTGTATCCCCAAATCTTGGACTCCAAACCCTAGACCGGCCCTAATCCCCTCTAGACCACCGTTCCTAACCTCAGGTCCTTCGTTCAAGAGTCGATCTTCAGCCGAAAGGATCCCGACGATCCTGCAGCATTGCATTTTATTTTGTTTATGCTTTTTTGCTTTAACTTATAAAAAGCCAGCAAGAAGAGCTTGTTGCTATTTGTTGCTGTTACTGCTAGCAGTACATGTTTGTCATGGCTACTGTTCTTACCATGGTCATTGCAACTTTCTTGCGCTTTCTTGCTACTACAGTAAGCTCCCGCGAACACAGGCGACAGAACCCCCCTCGAAACTGCATCGAGCATAAAAGCTAAAACCGTAAACCTTATGTAAACCCTCTTATGCAGAAAACTAAAAAGGAATAAGATCCGGGAACCATGTCAATGAGCCCCACCTGGAGCAGCGTCGAAGTCAAGTGCTCGAGCATTGCCTGCTCTTCTCGAGACTGCGAGAGTTTGAAGAGTTTAGGATTTAAGCTTGGCGGTTTTAGGGTTCACTGTAGGGCAGGATCTAACTTAAGCATTTGGGCTTTGGCGGTTTTCGGAAGCGGATGGAAGCAGGATTTAGGACTTTGGGCTTGGAGGGGTACAGTTTTACGACATTGAGGCGTATCTGTCGAGCTGTTTCAGTAGGATTTGATGGTTTGGGCTTTCGGTTTTCCCTCGCACACCCGGCCGAGAACCAAGAGCCTAAATACCAAGCAATGGGACAATCTAAGCCCTAATCAAAGCAGAAAGGAATGCTGTGGGGCCCGTATTCCTCCACACATACTGTAAGGTCTTGCAATGCGTTGCGGGTTGTCGCTTTTTAAAGCTTCCGTTTTGACACTTCTTCCAAACGAAAAACGAAACGCTTCATCCCGAGAACTTAACTGGGGTGCCGGGCGCGCACGTCATCGACCTTCCTCTCCACATCGGCGATTCGAGTCGGATCCTGCGCGATACACTATAGACTACATGTAAAATATGCTACTATCTACGGTATATACTATCTACGACATGTTGTTTTCTTTCTATTCTGTATGCTTATACTATATGTTTTGTACTACATACTATACCGTACTATGCTGTCAAAAAGCAAAATGCAATGTAATATGCGTGAATCGGCTTGCTAAGGGACGTTCTAAGGTGTTTTTATATCACGATTGGCTTAGGCAGGTTTGACGCAGGGCTTCGGGCCATGGCCAGATCAGGTTTGTCCAGGCATTTTCCAGCTTTCAACCGTCAAATGGCGTAGGCTTTGCCACGAACTTGCGGAGCAAATCAACATGCTCCCACGTATCAAGAACACAATTTAGGGCTTCAGGGCAGCCTTCGCTACAGTCCATGCATAGCAACGAAAATTCAAAGCTGGCTCTGAATAGCTAGCACCCCATAATCCCGTTGGCATCCAACAATGACAAATATTCCTTTTGAGCCCTCTTGTCATAGTGTAGCGCATGTTCCCTTATCGCGTCCCCACAGCGGGGGACCCCTCTTGCACTGCAAGCGGTTCCTGAGCTTGCGACTTGTCCGACAACTTCTGCATGGCTTCTCGTACCTTCAAAGAGGTTCGTATAGGGGCCTGAATTTGGTTTCGGCGTAACATGCAAGGTAATTGAAATAGGAAACCCAATTACTCAGGCTCCAATAGTTTAAGTCGCTTATCCGTTGCTTCCAGACGTCATACCTGTCTAGTCAACATGGGTGTATAAGGCTTGGGGCTTCCACGCGCAGTAATGATTAGTATGGGGCCTCGTAGACTGAGAGATCCGTCTGCAGGCAGGTAGGTTCTGTGGATTCATCGTTTCGACCAATGAACCGAGCCAGGGTTGCTTGTTCTAAGACAACTCACGCGGCAGTTTGGGGCCAGGCTAGTGGTCTCCGGATTTAGGGTTGTAGGACTGAGGCATGCCTGCTTACATGCAAGCTTCAATACATACTTACTTGCTTATCTTGTCTACTTCACAGGCACATACATGCCTGCGTGCATGTCTGAATGTATGTATGCATTATGCATGCATGATAGACTCATATGTAGCTGCGCCCTGCTCGTGTGGTCGTCCCCCCCCCCAGAACATGCTTTCTCTTCGGACCTCACGTCGGAGCTCGGACATCTTTTCGTGGACGTTCATGTCCATGCCTTATGGTGCGGGCACGTGATTCGGACGACCAGCCACCCAACTGCCTGAAACTTTGCGGTACCTATATACCGCCCAAAATGCAACCAAACCCTGGAAAAGGTTGAGGGCCTTTGTGTGCCAAGGACTCGTCCGAGCTGCTATCGAAGTCTGCATTGATGTCCCCCCAACTGGACGGCGCACGTGGATAGGCATACCAAACCTTGTCATGCACGAAACAATACCGAGAAGCAGAGTTCAGAACACAGCTGTAACCGTCATCTGTATGCTGAGAGGTAGTGTTTTGTATGGCGTTGTATCATGTCAGTCGGTGCCGATACCAACATCAAGGTCCGCCTACATGCATCGAATTACACCTCTACCGTACTGAACTATGTGTGTATGCATACAGATGCACATACATACGCCGCAAAAAAAATTGAAAGTGTACATAGTCTCCCGGCCGCTCTCGCACGGCAGCTCCGTTCTATCCCAGCTCCCCTCGTACAAAGCTGGATGTAGCCGGATGGCATAATCCGCATCCTCCTCACCCCGCACCCGTCGCTTTTGACAAGGGCATTTCCTGAGCTGCGCAGATCGCGAGACTCAGATTCCTAGAAGCCCCGGAGCTGTCCTAAGAAAAGTCACCATTTCCAGAGCCTTCGGGCCCAATGCGAGACCCCTCCCCCGGACCGAACCCGAAACTTGAGATGAGCTTCTTCCAGGCATAGGACATGGTGAAGTGGTTCACCTCACATAGGCCATGAAACCACAAGCCGTCGCCCCAAAACCTGAGACCCTACACCACCTCCCTGCAACCCACGGCATGCCAACATCTCAAAAATTAACACCAGACTGTCGGGAGGATACCTAAAGCTTAGCTCACTCAAAGTCCCTCAAGGCTCAACCCTAAACCCTAAACCATATAAGCCCAATAAACCGTAAGACTCAACACTTAGGTAGTTCTCTGAATTGGGCTTCATTTTGGGGGTCCCCTTTATAATACGGCACTCTTATAATAAGGATCCAGTAAGGGATCCTAATCTAAAGAACTACGCCACTTTCATAAGCCCAATAAGCCGAAAGACGCAACACTTTCCTAATCAGCGCCGGAGTCGCCAAGAAGCGCGACCGCTCCAAGAGGAAGAGTCGGTCCCGATGCTCCCATCCTCTCGGCGTTTTTTTCTCTTTTTCGGGGTTTAGGGTTTTAGGAGCTTTAGGGATTTAGGGGCTTAGGGTTTAGGGTTTAGAGGTTTAGGGTTTATTCGCATCCTTCCGTTTGCCTCTCTTCCAATAGAGGATTGGACAGGATTTAGGGCTTGGAACCTTGGCGGGCAGTTCTGGACTTCGTCATCTGATGCCTGGGTTTATTCGGTTGGTGTAGATGGTCTATGGACCAACCCCAAACCAGACCTAGGCCTAGATCCCGAACAACACTCTAGCTCATTATAGTATAGTCTCTTGTTTCATGGTATACTAAAGTCCTCTGATAGTAAAGTATAGTACGAGTATGTTATCTTATATTATAGTATAGTATAGTATAGTATAGTATAGTATCGCGTAGTATTGTATCTGTATAGTATACTAAGGGTGTTCTATCACATTCTCACCAAGACCACCAAGGATCCTTTCAACGGCGCTCGGGGGCAAGGCCCGGTTTAGGAATTTCTTAGGTCTTATAGGAGTTGGGCTTCAGAAGGCACCTCGGTTGTAGCTCTCCGCGCGAACGCCGATGAGCACATTGAGCAAGATAATGGACATGCTGAAGCTCATGACCTGCTAGTGCTCAGAGATTAGAGGATAGGCTTGACAGATGTTGGGAGTGTGCGGTCCAGGGGTTGGCAGACTCCAACACCTCATCTGCAAACCGAAAAGCGTCGACCCGGCGCTACTGATGCAGTGGGGGCAACTCCGTAGCTGGGCCACACAATGCCTAAGCGCCGCCAAGAGACCATGATAACAAAGTCCACCAACAAACGCCACTGGGCAGCGTTGTCACCCGCTGGCAGCATCACATCCGAGGTTTCCGCTAGGAACCCGAGATTGTACAGAATTGTGGTGCCACTCCAGAAGTCTCCCAGCCCGAAAGAGTAATACAAATGCACAAAGGCAGCAAACCAGCAGAAGACCACGAAAAAGAAGGGGCCCGTAGCCGGCACAGCTTGCAAAATTGGCAGCATCGGCTTGCCAGTGCTCTCAAATCCTTTGAGGCTGTTGAGAACACGGAGCCACCGGAGGAAGCCAGTGCAAGCGAAGATCAACCTGAGCATCGATTCTGAAGGCTTGCTGACAGTCAAACACTGAGTTCACATGGATACAACAACGAAAAAGACATGTAGACACATTCAACCAGTACGAACAGACATATTGTGTACCAAAAAAAGTGAGCACAAGAACACAGGTCTAAATGCGGCCCTCCGCAAGTGCCAAACAAAAAGTTCCGGACTTCATCCGCAAGGTCTCGACCGCGATGCTGCCCATCAGCACTCACGAATTTATGAACCGCATGTCTAAAGGAGAGGCTTTGGGTATTGGACCCTCACAAAGGGTCCTACTGTAAGTACTGTTCTTTGGGATACTTCCCCAAATCATAATAGTTATTCCGAATATAGAGACCCGACATGCTACTATATAGCTACTTAGGACCCTTTGGGCCTGTGTTTTGAACCGGAAGTTTTAGGATCCTGGAGCTTTCAACAGGCCGTCAAGATGCTGCAGCTCTTGCTGGGTCTGAAATGCGCCCCAGTTGATAGACAGGCCAACGAGGCTGACAGCTGTGATCGAGATTCGAATCACGTCTCCTGAAATAGCAACGGCTCTTCAAAACCCCAGAACCCCGTAATACGGACTGCCTTCTTAGATATCCGCACAGCCTTTGCATAAGCCCAAAACGCACAAGGCCACGAGGAGGCTTGCAGAAACTGTGTCTAGCTACCCATGGTTGCATCGAGGGGGGAGTTTAAGGATTTGGGTGAGCATTAGGCTGATGGTGTAAGACTTACAAGGTGTCCTGCGAAGCCCACGGATATGAAGTGCTGCTTGAGCTTTCCGTGCGCAAAGTGCCCGAGACAGGATAAGACTTCGTGGCTGACTTTTCGCATCCAAATCCTGGAGCACACGGAGAGTCCACCCCGGAGCATTTTACGAAAACGGTGGGGGCTTCTAATCGAAGCGCATTGTGCCCATGTTGTCAGGCAAGGACCTCTTTGTGGTGGGGTGTCGAGGCCGAGTCCGGGGGTGTAAGGGAAGAGTGCGTAAGTATATAGGGTTACCCATAGGCCCCTAAGTCGTTCCTTTTTGGGATTACCTCTTTGGATTCTAAATATCAACCACAAACAGGACCAATGGTTAGTAAGGTGAAGTATGGGATTGTCATGTGGGTCGACGGTGTACTAAGCCGACTTTCTCAGTCCAAGGAGACTGCAAATAAGGTTTGGCGTTCAGGATTTACAGATCTCGGATAAGGCTTTCTTGCAGGCCTCGCAGAGCATCTACGACTTGGGGTTCGGCCAGCCGCTCCCTTATTATGCTCCCTTCACCCCCCCGCCCCCCCACCAAGCTTTCATTCCAGAACCGTGGGTTTTCGAGAACAGAAGCTTGCCCCGGAAGTCCAGCCGCCTATCTGATGGATTCCTGGGATTCCTAGGCTATGCTTAATTGAATATCTAGGAAGACTCTCACAGGGACCCAGCTCAACTTTGGGTTTCTACAATATAACTGTGCGGTGACCGGAACCTTGGGTGGCCCAGTTTGTATGCGCAGGCCAAGTGTCAGCGCTGCGATGATCAAGCACGGCGCGCGCAGCTCGACGATTTTGCCCCACTCTGCGTCGTAGAGCCTCGGGTCACAGCATCGTGAGGAATACGAAGGACGAAGGCACGAACTCGAACTATTTAAGTTCGCTTATCCAAAAGAGAACTGAATAGGCTTATGGTCTTCGCGAAGATGTATATGGGCTACGGCACAGACTGATTCAGAGCAATGCTTCCAGGACAGCTCCAAAATCGAAGCTTGAAATCTATAACAACGGAAGATGGCATGCTAAACCGGGAAACTTGAACCCTGCACTATGATGCCTGTGCCCAATATCCCCAAAGCTTCAGCAACAAGTTGCCCCCCAGAAATCCGACAACCAACGCCCCTCAGACCCCAGTGTCGTTAAGCCTAAATCTTGAACCTCGCAGCACCCCATGCCGTGAACCCTAAATCGCCGAATCCCCTTATATGTCGGAACCAGACAGGGGTCTGTCTAGAGCCCATTAAAAAGAAAAACTATATGTTTTCTACCAGAATTGATTTTCCACAACTTGTTCTAAACAAAAAGACCCCTCGACACCCCTTGGGCGATGTGGAGCCTCCGGGGCCAAATCCGAGGAGCTGTAAGGCCATCAGAGCGAAGAGAACTGCCATGAGAACATCCTGGAGGGCGGCTTTTGGGTCTTGAGTTCATGGGCTTAAACATTGGTATTTAAGCGCTATATATATATACATATATATATATACATATGTAACATATATATATATGTATATGCATACATACGTACATACATACATACATACATACATACAGGCAGGCAGGCAGACAGACAGCCAGCCAGCCAGCCAGCCAGCCAGCCAGGCAGACAGACAGACAAACAGACAGACAGACAGACAGACAGACATACTAAGACATACTAATACGTACTAATACGTACTAACACATACTACTACATACTAGTACATACTAGTACATACAAATACATACTAGTACATACTAATACATACGGTTACATACGAACACATACTAATACATACTAGCACATACTAATACCTACTAATACATACTAATAGATACCAGTACATACTAATACATACTAGTACGTACTAATACGTACTAATACGTACTTTCACATACTTATATACATACTAAGACATACTCAGACATAGCAATACATACTAAGACATACTAGTACATACTAATACATACTAATGCATACTAATACATACTAATACATAGCAACATACATACTAACATTCCTACTAACATACATGGCAACATACATACTAACATTCCTACTAACATAGATACTAACATACATACATGCATGCATGCACGCATGCATGCATACATACATACGTACATACATGCTTAGATCAGCCTATGTTTAGCATTCAGGGCTTGGAATTATCGGCCTGTGAGTCGTGAGGTTTTAGGTTTGGGGGATTACAATCATCAAGGTTTAGGGTTTGGGGTTCGGGGTTTTGGGTTTAGGGCTTGGGGTTTCGTGTCATCCTTTCAACTTTCTGCTCTTGCTGAGCGTGATTGCGCATGCCTTCTGAGAAGCTTTGCTTGTTCCAGCCTTCTAAACCCTCTAACTTCAATCGCTGAATCTCAAAACCCTGAAGCCGAAACTCTTACCCCTGAAAAGCCCCTAAACCCATGAACCCGAAGCAACTAAGCACTAAACCGTAAGCCGTAAACCGCAAGCCATAAATCCTAAACCCTAAAACCCTAAACTCTAAATACCCTAAACCCCTAAACCCCTAAACCCTAAGCCCTAAGCCATAAACCCCAAGCCCTAAACCCTATGCTCCAGCAGTGGCCCTCGAAGCACAAACACGTTCTGACACTCGTGAAAAGGGTGACCTTAAGAAGCGGGGCTTTAGGGTTTGAGGGCTTAGGGTTTAGGGGCCATGATTTTTAGGGTTTAGGGTCTAAGCGCTTAGGGTTTAGGAGCCATGATTTTTAGGGTTTAGGGTTTAAGGGTTTAGGGTTATGATGTTTATAGTTCTTCCCTTAAGGGTTCTATACGAGATTATAGGGTTTCTTACAAGGGTAGTGTAAAGTGTTCTAGAAGGCATTCCAAAACGGTCCACCCAACCCTTCCCATATGTTCCGAGCATTGAAACCGCTTCACACTGTCACAGGATCCAATATGACCTAAGCCAAACTTAAAAAATCGGACACGGTAAAACCCTAAACTCCAGAACCCTAAAACCCTAAAGCCAGTAAAACATCAGGTATGGTGTGAGAAGAAGCGGGAGGTCAGCAGGCAGTGACAGACACAGCCAAGCGTCTAAAAGTCCTGAAATTCGTGAACGCCCAGTCCAGCAACCAAAAGGCATAATATAGGGGCCTTAATCATTAGAATACGGATTTGGGGCCCATTATACTATAATTAGAATAAGGAACCCCCCCAAAATGGTATCGGAAATTATTTAGGCCCCTACATTACAACCGTGAAGCTCTACCTGTAAACAATTCAAAAAAACACACAAACCTATACTGGGGTTTCCGAAAATTAGGGTGCCTATTTTTGGGGGTCCTTATAATAAGGATCCTACTATTTAGGGCACTTTATTAGGGTCCCCTACTTTCGGAAACTCCCATACTGCCTTAAACCCTCCAGGATCAGCAAGGAGGCCTTCTACGCGGCCCAGATTTTGGGCATCCCGACAGTGCTCTGTCCACGATTTCCAGCATTTGGGGTTAAACCCTAAACCCTA